GATCGTGTGAACTCAATCGATAGCTTTCGTAGCCTTGCGTATGTGTGTATTAAGTAAACTTTTTATAAATTGATAATACTGCAAGTGCAGATACTCGAGCGTTATTTTAAATATACATACATATTTACATATCGCATACAAACTTACATGTTAAAAATATTGTTCGGAAGTTAAAATTTACACGGATTGAGAGATTGTTGGGTAAACGGGTTAAGGAAAATTTAGTAAAAAATAACGTTTTTGTGTTTAATTACTATTCGTAACATTAAAGCACGTCGTTAAATTAAAAACGAATCGGCAAAAGCCTTTACTCCCAATATTTACTATTATTGATCTTGATCTCATTTATTTGTTTACCAACCAAGAAGGGTATGCTTATTTGTTTTTTCGTATCTATTATACAAATGTATTATTTGCAATTAATTCATTTTTTTCTCCTTATAAAATTAGGTCTATCCCTTTTCTTTTCGGACGATGCTGGTTTTTAATTTTTCTCCAATATATTTCGGTTACACCGCGGTAACCGTCTTCAGGGCAACTATTGACAACAAAAAAAATGTAAATACACACAAACATAATATAAACAATTTTCGTAACAATATTGGAATACTGCTGCTGAACAAGCCTTTCTCAAACTCAAAGAGAGTTTAACTACCACTCCCGTTCTGACTATGGCCGATTATTCAAAACCATTCAAGGTTTATACCGATGCCTCGCTTATCGCAGCGGGTGTTGTTCTAGTACAAGAACATGATGGGAATGAACGTGTGGCTCAGTATTTTTCTAAGAAATTCTCGAAAGCCGAACAGAATTACACAGCATCCAAACGGGAATGCCTAGCCGTTCTTCTAGCGGTCGAAAAGTTCCGTCCATATTTTGAGGGTCGTGAATTGGTTGTGGTAACGGACCATGCAGCTTTGCGCTGGCTACAAACTCTCAAAGAAACAACTGGCCGATTATGCCCTTGGGCGATCCGATTATCACCATACGATCTCAAAATTATTCATAAACCAGGAAAACATTTAGAACTTCCTGACGCCTTATCTCGTTCTTTTGCTCTTCTCAACATCGTTCGTAGAAGTCCAATTGACCTTCCGAGTATTTTTCTCGTTAATCGTACCCCAATCACATCCGTGATTAATATTGACCCAAACACGTGCGATAAATGGTACAACAAAATGCACGCCATGGCCTCAAAACAACCATTAGATAGATATAAAATCGAGAACACCCTCCTATATCATCGATTAAAATTTTCCAATCAAAATGCGGAAATACTGTGGACACTTTGTGTACCATCTTCTGAGAGAGCAAAAGTCCTCGATGAAAATCATAACCTACATTCGCATCAGGGTGTTTGGAAAACTTATAGACGTATCTCACAACGCTATTACTGGCCAAACATGTATGAGTCCGTTTACCAGTACGTTCGGCAATGTGAACTATGCCACCGCATTAAACCAAGTAATGAGAGCACCAAAACACCTCACGGCGAATATAGAGAACCAAAACGACCGGGTAGGCAATTATCGATTGACTTCGTCGGTAAGCTGCCCATGTCTAAAAATCGTAACCAATGGATCTTCGTAGCCATCGACTGTTACTCGCGATATGTCTGGGCGCAGCCCATGAAAAATGCAAACGCTATATTCGTAGTCAATTATCGTCGACATATATTCACGGTGAATGGCTGCTCCGAACTCATTGTGTCAGATAATGGTACTCAATTCATCAGTAAAACTTTCGTACAGCTTTGCGCCGATTATAACATCAAACACATGAAAACGCCTTTGTACCATNTACAAACTCTCAAAGAAACAACTGGCCGATTATGCCCTTGGGCGATCCGATTATCACCATACGATCTCAAAATTATTCATAAACCAGGAAAACATTTAGAACTTCCTGACGCCTTATCTCGTTCTTTTGCTCTTCTCAACATCGTTCGTAGAAATCCAATTAACCTTCCGAGTAATTTTCACGTTAATCGTATCCCAATCACATCCGTGATCAACATTGACCCAAACACGTGCGATAAATGGTACAACAAAATGCATGCCATGGCCTCAAAACAACCATTAGATAGATATAAAATCGAGAACAACCTTCTATATCATCGATTGAAATTTTCCAATCAAAGTGCGGAAATACTGTGGACACTTTGTGTACCATCTTCTGACAGAACAAAAGTCCTCGATGAAAATCATAACCAACATTCGCATCAGGGTGTTTGGAAAACTTATAGACGTATCTCACAACGCTATTACTGGCCAAACATGTATGAGTCCGTTTACCAGTACGTTCGGCAATGTGAACTATGCCACCGCATTAAACCAATTAATGAGAGCACCAAAACACCTCACGGCGAATATAGAGAACCAAAACGACCGGGTAGGCAATTATCGATTGACTTCGTCGGTAAGCTGCCCATGTCTAAAAATCGTAACCAATGGATCTTCGTAGCCATCGACTGTTACTCGCGATATGTCTGGGCGCAGCCCATGAAAAATGCAAACGCCATATCCGTAGTCAATTATCTTCGACATATATTCACGGTGAATGGCTGCCCCGAACTCATTATATCAGATAATGGTACTCAATTCATCAGTCAAACTTTCGAAAAGCTTTGCGCCGATTATAACATCAAACACATGAAAACGCCTTTGTACCATCCACAAGCCAATCAGGTCGAGGCGACAAACAAAAGCATTAAACTTGGATTACGTGCTCACATGGCTGACCTTTTTGAACATTCCTCCTGGGAAAACCATCTTTCTCGTGTTAGTCATGATAGTAACACTTCAGGGCATTCAGCCACGGGCTACACGCCATATTTCCTGCACACTGGTCGTGAATATGTGAAAGATGGAAACGAATATAAATTATTATTGGATGTAAATCCATACCATACACAGGATGTGGAACAGCGTAAAGTTCTGGCTGATGAAATTCGAGACAAACAGTTCGAACAATATCAACAAACCGCACAACGGGCATTGACCCGCAAAAGAGAACGCCATTTCGAGATAGGCTCGGAAGTGTACATTCCCAATCCTAAACAGTCCGTGGCCGGAGAGGGCTATGCACAAAAACTAGCCCCACCAAAAATTAGAGCCTATGTTTCACGGAAACTTGGTTCGAATTCATATCTACTGATCGATGCTAAACACCGAGTGCTTGACAATTATTCCGCCGATTTAATCACAACACGTTAACTCATTCAGTACATTCGCCTTCTCAAGAATTTCGATGAATATATGGCGGGCCTCCATACTCCATTGATTCTGCCTTATTACANAATAAATTAATTAAGTTTAGTTTTGTTATATCCATAGTTTTGTTATATTATATCCTCAGTACATTGCTAGTAAATCGATCAAAGCAAACAAGAAAAGTTTCATAACCAAATCATTTACCAATGCCTTTCATCTACCGTAGCTTATGTAATGCGTACTGAAACTAAATACGAAAGACGGAACATTTATACATACATATGCGCTTAAAGGCGAACTGAACGAGTCAGGATGGGGTTGATGAAGATCATGTGGAACGATTTCGATGTAAGNGAACTGAACGAGTCAGGATGGGGTTGATGAAGATCATGTAGAACGATTTCGATGTAAGGTCTAACGTCGATCAAACCACAGCCCGTGAATCGCATTCGAACCACCATTCTCATATCCCTACTAAACGCTCCACATTTTTTTTGTTAACGTGTCGCTGGAGATGAGAGGGGGATAATGATCTATTATTTTTTATTGCCCAAATAATAGACATAAGAACGATTATAAGAAATGTATACATAACAAAACTGTCGAAGCTAAACTTCAAAATGGATGTACGTAACCAATAGTTATTCAAGACACGAACCATCATATCGGTATAGACACGAATTGACATGGCCACTATGAAAACGCCCACACTGACATACGATAAAAGAATCGGTGGTCACATACCACGAGGCTAGAAAAATATATCTCCTTTTTGGAATTGGACACGGAGCGAACCACACTCATCAGCCCTCGCAAGAACGGAATTACAACCAAGTAATTAAAGTGGATTAAAAGCTTGTATTAAAAGCTGGCGACATTCGAGGAGTCGATACTCACCCCTCAGTGGAAATTAATAGAGGCAAAAGGTGCCGTCACATTCCTTCCGGCAAATCCCCAGCCATGTTGTTGCGTAGAATAAAGAAGTTGTGAGCATCAAATCTGGACTATTCATTTGACAGCAATTCAGTCAGCACTTCCTTGCCACCATCCATTGGAAGCGAGCTATCCATCAACCGTAAATAAAGATTCCTGTTTGGACCGACAAACCAAGGTCAAGCAAATCAATTTATTTTTGGATAGGGGATCCGTCACGTGCTTAAGTTTAAAAATTAACAAAAAATGGGAATATGATAAAAATATTCATATCTAGCGTTTAAGTACGTGAGGGATAACCTATGCAAAAATATTTTTGTTATAATCGGTGATTTTGCGGAAATTTTGGCGCCCCCTTCATGTGGCTTGACTCAATTCCATTGACAGCGTAAGCATTTTTCAAAGCTGTAAAATTTGTAAAGCAGTTTTGGTATAAAGTATAAGTAGTATACATACATATATTAGTGTTTAAATATAATAAAATATGAAATATACACCATATATGCATGTAAAGTAATAACTTAACTATTTTATTTTCTCCATAAAATACCAATAGTAAGAGTGTTCAGTAAGTAAAGAATCCTCATTTGACACATTGCACTGATTTCAATACAATTGTTTTGCATTGCCTTTCATTTCCATTGCTTTTCATTGCCACTGCTTTTATTGCTTTTTCACACAATATATGCTTTCGGCGCCAATGCTTAGGTCTAGGTTCAGACGGAGAAACTTTTGTTGCCGCAACTCGTTACTTTTGGGAGAGGGAGCGACGAGGAAGGGGGAAGGGCACCGAGTTTCTCGTGCTCGGGCAACACGCTTTGTGTTCTTATTCGTCTCAGTTCGCTGCTAAGAAATTTGACATTCCTTTTGATTTACAAATTCTTTCAGTGTTTGCAGTTTTGTTGAGATTTATATGAATACATACGGTAAGTTGTGAAATTGTAATTTGGTTCTTGATTTTTTGTACTTAAATATTCACATGTATGTTTATATATGCATATATATATATATATGAACATTTCAGAATATGGAGTACCAAGATAAAATTGAATTAATGCAAGATATTTTTAAGTGCATCGAGGAAGCCGTCGAGATTGATTCGGATGATAGCGAAAGGGAGGACATATGTAAAGGTTTGTACTGAGATTGTAGATTGGAAATTGAATACTAAATTAAAGGTATTTTTTAAACTCCAGGACTAATCAATATGTGTGAAAAAGTGGCAAAGATGCCTATAAGGAAAAAAAATCGTGAATGGACAAAGGTGTGGAGGGAAGCGAAGTCGGAAAAAGGATCATTCGCATTCTTAACAAAAGAGCTATTGATATCGGACAAAGCTAGCTATAAAAATTATTTGCGAATGACTGAGACCCAATTTAATTTCCTGCTTTCATTCATTAAGGAAGATTTAAGAAAGCAAGATACCATAATGTGGTCCGCAATTTCTCCAGCTGAAAAACTGTCTTTGACACTGCGGTTTCTTGCTACAGGTAAACTTCAATACAAACTTATATATGCAATGAAATATGTAAAAAATTGTATCATTAAAACTTGCGTGGCCAAGAATGGAATGAGGCTAAAAGCACTTACTTTTACAGGGGAAACTTTTCAGAGCTTGAATTTTCATTCCAAAATATCAAAGGCTGCTATTAGTGGCATAATTCGGATGTATGTGACGCTATTTGGGCTAGACTGAAAGG